AATGCAAATTAATGAATTAAATGCGAATTCGGAAACTAATTCATTAATCAATTGAATTAATTCAATTAATTGAATTAATTCAATTGATTGAATCAATTCAATTGATTGAATTAATTCAATTGATTTAATTGATTGAATCAATTCAATCAAAGTTCAATTAATTCAATCGAATGAATCAATTCAATTAATTCAATCAATTCAATCAAAGTTCAATTAATTCAATTGATTGAATCAATTGAATCAATTCAATCAATTCAATCAATTCAATTAATTCATTTAATTCATTTAATTCATTTAATTCAATTAATTCATTTAATTCAATTAATTCAATTATTCAATTGTTCAAAAGACCAACTGCCGCAGCAACGAGCCTTTGGCCCAAATCGCATTTTTGTCACAAAATTTTCTGTCAAATTTTTCTTCGAATTTTTTTTCTTTCCTTTCTGCCGGGGTGTACGTACACCCCAACAGCAGCACAAACACCTCGCCCTAGTTAGTAGTTACTGCAGACGCTATCATTATACAAAGTTGCATTTATATATATATATATATATATATATATATATATATATATATATATATATATATATATATATATATATATATATTGTATATATATATGTGTAAATGTATATATATTTGTTTATTTGTTTCCTTTGACTGCGTTTCAAAAGCAAACAAAAAGTGGTTTCATTTCAACAAAAAAAGAAAAGTTATTTCAACAAAAACAAAAGTAATTTGATTTCAAAAAAAAACAAAAGTTATTTGATTTCAACAAAAACAAAAGTTGTTTTGTTTCAAAAAGAAACAAAAGTTGTTTTGTTTCAAAAAGAAACAAAAGTTATTTTATTTCAAAAGAAACAAAAGTTATTTTATTTCAAAAAAAAAAAAAGAAATTTGATTTCAACTCGAAAGCAAAAGATCTGTTGTTGGCCTTTCCAAGAACTGACAGCTGAAGTCTCTCAGCCGCAAATCACTCCGTCGCGTCGGTGATGCCCTGGCCCGTGCTGAGCAGCAAATAAATAAAACAATAATAAATAAATAAATAAAAGAAATAAAAAAAACAAATAAACAAAAGAAATAAAAAAGAAATAAACAATTAAATAAAAGAAACAAACAAAGAAAACAAACAAAAGAAATGAACAAACGGCGCTTTGCTGAAGTGCCTCCCTGCGCCGTGACCAGTGGACCACTTTAGCCTGACCAGTGGACCACTGGTCAGTGACCAGTGGACCAATTCCCCACTTGAACCCTTTTAATTCCTCATTTAACTCCATTTAACTCCTTTTAACTCCTTTTAACTCCTTTTAACTCCTCATTTAGCTCCTTTTAATCCATTTAACTCCTTTAAATCCCTTTAACTCCTTTAAATCCCTTTAAATCCTTAAATTCCTCCTAAAAGTCCCCAAATTCCCCCTTAAAATCCCTTAAAATCCTCATTTAAGTCCCTCAAAGTCGCTGGACTCACAGCTGGAAAGTGCACTCGGCCTCTGCCAAGTTGGGGGCGTCGAAGACTTTGCAAATTCGCTGTTCGCCTTTGCCTTTCCGCAGCGACAGCCGAGTTGTGGAGGCGTGGCCGAGGACGTGGCCGCCGACTGAAAAAGTTGGAGTTGAATAGTTAATTAAAGGGATTAAATGGAGTTAAAATGGATTAAATGGATTAAATGGAGTTAAATGAGGAATTAAAAGGGTTTAAGTGGAGTTAAAGGGAGTTAAAAGGAGTTAAAAGGAGTTAAATGGAGTTAATAGGAGTTAAAGGGAGTTAAAGGGAGTTAAAAGGAGTTAATAGGAGTTAAATGGAGTTAAAAGAGGAATTAAAAGGAGTTAAATGGAATTGAAAGGATTTAAGTGAATTAAAAGGATTTAAATGGAGTTAAATGGAGTTAAATGGAGTTAAATGGAGTTAAATGGAGTTAAATGGAGTTAAAAGAGGAATTAAAAGGAGTTAAATGGAATTGAAAGGATTTAAGTGAATTAAAAGGAGTTAAATGGAGTTAAATGGAGTTAAATGAGGAGTTAAAAGGAGTTAAATGGAGTTAAATGGAGTTAACTGAGGAGTTAAAAGGAGTTAAATGAGGAGTTAAAAGGAGTTAAATGAGGAGTTAAAAGGTTTTAAATGAGGAATTAAAATGGGGAATTAAAATGATTTAAATGGAATTAAAATGAGGAATTAAAAGGATTTAAATGGAATTAAAATAGTGAATTAAAAGGATTTAAATGAGGAATTAAAAGGATTTAAATGGAATTAAAATAGTGAATTAAAGGGATTTAAATGAGGAATTAAAAGGATTTAAATGAGGAATTAAAAGGATTTAAATGGATTTAAATGAGGAATTGAAATTAAATTCCGCGGATTTGGTTAATTAATTAAATAAAGTCAAAAGTAAGAAAAAAGGGCAAGCTGCTGAGGTGTCTAGACACACCAGGCTTTGTGGGGTTGGACACGAAAGTCAACCCGCCGCCGGGGTCGGACCTGCGGAGAAAAGAAATTAAATAAATTAAATAAAATTAAATAATTAAAATAAAATAAATAAAATTAAATAAAATTAAATAATGAAATAAAGGAAATAAAATTAAATAAAATTAAATAAAAGAAATAAAAAGAAATAAAATGAAATAAAAAGAAATAAAAAGAAATAAAAGGAAATAAAATGAAATGAAAAGAAATGAAAAGAAATGAAATGAAATAAAATGAAATAAAAGGAAATAAAATGAAATAAAAAGAAATAAAAAGAAATAAAATGAAATAAAATGAAATAAAATGAAATAAAGTGAAATAAAATAAAGGATATAAAATGAAATAAAACGAAATAAAGTGATATAAAATGAAATAAAATAAAATAAAATGAAATAAAAGGAAATAAAATGAAATATAAAGAAATAAAAAGGAATAAAATAAAAAGATATAAAATGAAATAAAATGAAATAGAATGAATTAAAGTGAAACAAATTGAAATAAAGTGAAATAAAGTGAAATAAAGTGAAACAAAGTGAAATAAATTGAAACAAATTGAAATAAATTGAAATAAACTGAAATAAAACGAAATAAAGTGAAATAAAGGGAAATAAAGTGAAATAAAGGAGAAATAAAGTGAAACAAAGTGAAATAAAGTGAAACAAAGTGAAATAAAACGATAAAGTGCAACAAAGTGAAATAAAATGAAATAAAATGAAGCAAATAAAGTGACCTCACATGACTTGGTTGGTGAGGACGACAGCGACGTTGAACTGTTCAGACACCTTGATGAGGGAACTCAGCATTTTATTTAACTTCTGCTGCCGCTCCGCCAACTCTCCGCGGCCGCTGAAGTCCACGCGAAACAAAGCCATGATGGAGTCCACAATCAGCAGCGCTGAAGTCCCTTCCAAGTCAAGTCCAACTCTCTTCAAATCCCAACTTCATCCAGCAGCAGCAGCAGCAGCAGCAGCAGCAGCAGCAGCAGCAGCGGCAGCAGCAGCAGCAGAGCAGCAGCGGCAGCAGCAGCAGCAGCGGCAGCAGCAGCAGCAGCAGAGCAGCAGCAACAGCAGCAGCAGCAGCAGCAGCAGCAGCTCTTGCGCGCACCGAATTTCTCCTCGCTCATCTGAAAAGGCGGAAATGAATGCGAGGGGAAGAGCAAAGAATGGAAAACTTTATTTCAAAAAAGAAGTTGAAGAAAAAGAAGTTAAAAAAGAAGTTGAAGACAGAAAAGTTGAAAAGGAGAAAAAAAGATTTGAAGAGCGCTTTGGCGCCGCTGCGCAGAGACACACCGCGGCCTTGCGGTGTCTGTACACCCGCCAGCAAGCCCCCAAACACCCAAGTAGCTTCGCAGCAGCAGCAGCAGCAGCAAACAACTGATGCATGCACAGCAGCAGGAGCAGCAGCAGCAGCAAACAACTGATGCATGCACAGCAGCAGGAGCAGCAGCAGGAGCAGCAGCAGCAGCAGCAGGAATTACCTTTGCAGCAGCAGCAGCAAATAACTGGTGCACGCACAGCAGCAGCAGCAGCAAAAATACCTTTGCAGCAGCACCACCAAACAACTGTTGCACGCACAGCAGCAGCAGCAGCAGCAGCAGCAGCAGCAGCAGCAGCAGCAGGAGCGTAATTACCTTTGCAGCAGCAGCAGCAAAGAGCTGGTGCACGCACAACAGCAGCAGCAGCAGGAGAAATACCTTTGCAGCAGCAGCAGCAGCAACAGCAGCAGCAGCAGCAGCAGCAGCAGCAGCAGCAGCAGCAGCAGCGTAAATACCTTTGCAGCAGCAGCAGCAAAGAGCTGGTGCATGTGTTCGGTGGTGTAGGCGCGGGCGTACATTACGTTGTCGAGACACCCCGCGCCGTCGAGGCCGAAGCGCGCCGCAATTTCGCAGATTTTTTCCGGGCGAAAAGTCGCCTCCGTGTCGACGTAGCAAACCTGAAAAGGCGTTCAATTTGGACTTCTTTTTGGAGACTTTTAATGCAATTTGAGGAGATTTAAAAGGCAGTTTGAAGGGGAAAAGAAATTAAATAAAAGAGCGGAGAAAATGGGAAAAAAACGGGGAAAAAAGAGGGGAAAAGGAAGAAAAAAGAGGAAAAAGAAATAAAAAAATGGAAAAATACAAAGTATAAAAGAGAAAAAGAAGAAAAAGAAAATAAAATAAAACAAAACAAAATAAACAAAATAAAATAAAACAAAATAAAACAAAATAAACCAAATAAAACAAATAAAATAAAACAAATAAATAGAACTGAGAGGACTTGCCTTTCCGCAGCCGCCGCCCATCTCCCTGGGGAGTTGCGCAGTGACGCACAAAGTGTGGCAAATTTGAGTTTTTCCAGTTCTGTTTTCGCCAAAGACTTCCGTTATCGACATCGTCTCCACTCCGCCCCCCAAAAGCAGGTCCAGCTGCGAAGATCCTGCGGAAATTGCATGCAACCAGCTGCCAAACTGCAGCAGCAGCAGCAGCAGCAGCAGCAGCAGCAGCAGCGGAAGCAGCAGCAGCAGCGCAGATGCCCCAGCAGCAGCAGCAGCAGCAGCAGTGCAGATGTCCCAGCAGCAGCAGCAGCGGCAGCAGCAGCAGCAGCAGCAGCAGCAGCAGCAGCAGCAGCAGCAGCAGCAGCAGCAGCAGCAAGCTTGCACCTGTGGTTATCTTCACCACTTTGGCCCGGCGCGCTATCAACTCGCCGCCGCTGATGAAGGAATTGCACAACTCCAACTTCATGGCGGCTTCGACGATCTTTTCAACTTTGGCCTCCGAGAGGCCTTTCACGAGAGCCAGGTCTTTTTTCTGAGTCGAGTTTATAAATTAAATTAAGTCCTTTTAAATGCGCGCTGCTGCTGCTGCTGCTGCTGCTGCTGCTGCTGCTGCTGCTGCTGCTGTCGCCTTACTGTGGTCTGAATCACGGAAAGCACTGTGCAGTAACCCGAGCCTCGCAGCTTGGCGATGTCTGCTGCGTTGATCCCCACGTTTTGCAACTTGTCCTTAAAATGGCATTTATAAAAAGAAATAAATTACAAAAAGAAGTCATAAAAAAGAAATAAAAAAGAAATTACAAACTTGATCGGCTCACAATGCTGATGAAGTGCTCCTCGTTGCCTTCGTTCAAGTCGCAGGAAGCCGGGACGGTCCCGACGTGCTTGCGAGCCGACTTGCTCTCTCCGAGAGTCGCCATTTTCCAACAATTGCAAAATAAAAGAAATTAATTAATTAAATGATAAAGTTCAGCGAGCAGTTTGTGCAAACTGGCGGGAGTGGATCCGCGGCTGCGCGAGTTGAACGGGCAAGCTGCCTATACACCCCAGCGCTGCGCGCGAACACCCGTTTTGAATTTCGCAAATTCGAAGACTTTTTTAATTTTATTTCTTCTAAATAAACTCCAAATAAACTCCAAAGCTGTTTTAATCTAAAAGAAACTCAACTGAGGACATTAAGGCGAAGTTTCCCGCTTCCGCGCTGCTGCAGCGTTTTGCACATTCCGATTCGAGCCCGCGCGCCTCTTCGACGCAGAACTTTAGCAGCTAAAACTGCAAATTAAATTAAAAAAAGAAACAGTTTTGTTTTGTTAATTAAATAGTTTTGTTTTTTTAATTAAATCCGCAATAAACATTTGCAATTCTGCATCTAACAAGCCCGCATTCAGCGAGACTGGCGCAGAGCCAGCGGGGCTTGTGGGAACATTCAAGTTCCCGCGGGGCCTCGCAGGGCCTCCTGAAGAAACTTTCTTTTTTATTTTGGTTTAATTCATTTAAAAGATAAAATGAAAATAATTAAATTAAATCAAAATTTGCATGCAGAGGGCTCGGAGGGGGCCTGGGGATCTTGGGGGCATTCAAATTCAAGCGAAATCAAAAAAAATCGAAGTTCATACAACTAATTTGCTGCAGCAGCAGCAGCAGCAGCAGCAGCAGCAGCAGCAGCAGCAGCAGGCCTCAACTTTTTGCTGCGCCGACTGGAAGCAGCAGCGCATGCAGTTTTTGGGGCTGTGGAGGCGGGTGGCAGCAGTTGTTTGTGTCTGAGGAATTAAATGGAAATAAAAGTATTTTTTAATTTCCATTTTGTTTAAATTTATTATTTGTTTGTCCACTTTGCCCTCAAGGGCCCGCAGAGCTGCTGCTGCTGCTGCTGCTGCTGCTGCTGCTGCTGCAGCGGCTCTGTGTCTTCTCTGTGTCTGTCTTGCATTTCTTGCTGCTGCTGCTGAGGCCCTGCAGCCTTGCTGCTGCATTTTTGATTTTCTTTTTATTTTTTATTTTAATAATTTATTTAATTCATTTAAATACCCCAAGAGGCGCTGCCTAGGGCCCGGGGGGCCTCGAGGGAGCCCGCCGCCGCCGCCGCTGCTGCTGCTGCTGCTGCAGCTGCTGCTGCTGCTGCTGCTGCTGCTGCTGCTGCTTGCAGGAAGCAGCAGCAGCAAATAAGTGCAATTTCAGGGTCAAATAAATGCGAATTTGCTTCCCAAGGGCCTCCAGCCCTGCGCGCAACTGGGGGGTCTCGGAAGACAGATTTATTTCTTCTTTATTTCCCTTTTTAGACAAATTAATTTCTTCTTTTGTTTCTTTTCTTTGTTGTCTTTTCTTTGTTTTCATTTCAATGCAGACAGCTGAGGCCTGGAGCTGAAGCTTCTGCTGCAGCAGCTGCTTCCTCTGCTGCCGGGACTTGAACTCCCGCTGCTGTTTTCTTTTTCTTTTTTTGTGGATTTGTTTCCGAAATTCATTTTTTATTTATTTTTTCTTTTTCTTTTCTTTTTCTTTTCTTTTTTTCGCTCTCCGACGCAATGGAAGTCCCGGATCTTTCGCAGATCGACGACGAGGAGGTCTTGACTCTGGTGCTGCTCGATTCGACGCATCCGCAGGTAAACTGAGTCGGAAAAGGCGCAAATTAATTCAAAAAGAGTAAAAAATAAAAGAAAAATAATTAATTTAATTCAAAAAATGAATTTTAATTGCAAACAAATGCAAATGCCGATTCGGGAAAACGGGAGATGCTGCGCATACACCCGAAAAGGACTTCCAGCTCTTTCGCTGCGCCGGCCCATCGCTGGCGCTGTCTTCGATCTTGAATTGACTCTTTTGTTTATTATTATTATTTATAAATATTATTAATTATTATTATTAATTATTATTAATTATTATAATTATTATTTGTTGTTATTTGTCACTTTAAGTTGCTTTTAAAGGCGCGCCTGTTTGCAGATCATCGCAGCTGCGACCGAAACCAAAAACTCCCTCTTGAGCACAGCCAACGAGGCAAGTTGAACGGAGGATTAATTCTGGATTTATTTATTTAAAATTATTTTATTTTAATTATTTTATTTATTATTTATTTTATATTTCTTTTTAATTCGAAATTGAACAATTCATTTCAGTTCAACAGCTCTTTCGCTTCGTTCCAGCCGCAGCGCTCCGTGTTCCGCTCTGCGCGTTCTCGCGGGAGAATTTGAATTTGCAGAATGGATATTTAATTCATTTTGGATTTAAACTTTCAAAAAAGAATTATTTGTTTTTATTTGTTTATTTATAATAGGATATTTAATTCATTTTGGATTTAAACTTTCAAAAAAGAATTATTTGTTTTTATTTGTTTATTTATAATTCAGTTTTGTGGAGATTTTTGTTTTTATTTCTCGAAAAGCCCCACTTCGTTGCTGCATGCATTCCAGATTTTGAAATCTGTGGAAAACATCAAAGACCGTCTTGTTGCAATTGCTTCCCCCTCCACCCAGGCGGACTCCTCCGCCCCAAACAGCAGCAGCAGCAGCAGCAGCAGCAGCAGCAGCGGCAGCAGCAGCAGCAGCAGCAGCAGCAGCAGCGGCAGCAGCAGCAGCAGCAGCAGCGAGGAGAAGAAAGGCGATTTTAAGTGCAGCCGCAAAGATGTGGAGGCGCTGCTGAAGAGGGCCAAGGCGGTGGTGGACTCCTCTTTGAAGTTGACATTTGAACTTGTGCGGAAGTGTTGATCTTTGGAGTTTTAATTTGTTTTTTTGAATTTAAAAGTGCAAATTAAATTCCTTTTTAGTTTTAATTCTTCATTTTGCAATTTGTTTTCTTCTTCAGGACGAAATGTCGTTCAAAGCGATGAATCCCATCTGGGGAGCCGAGAAGAGCGTCCGCCAGTCGCGGAAGTTTCTCGTGCAGCTTCTTGAGGTGGAAAATGCATTTTTGAATTCAAAATAAATTAAATAATCAAAATAAATAATTATTTTTCTTTTTGACTCTTAAATGGCTCTTAATCCTCGAGATCAGCTCAGAAACTGAACTGCAGCAGCAGCTCCATCTGCACAAGAACCTGCAACGCAGCTCGCGCCCAGCAGCCACAGCTCTCTAGTTTTTCTTTTAATTTAATTTTCTGTTTTTAATTTTATTTTTGAATTTATTTGCGGCGAGTGAAATGCGGAAATGGGAAATGCTGAACAGACAGAAGTGCTGTCTTGTGCATGTGAACGGGCGCCGACGAAGATCAGAAAAAAGCAGAAAGCGGAATAAAATGGACGGAAATGAGTGAAATGAGCGCCAGAATGCAAACTAATTGAAAAATAATGAATAAAGGAATAATTATTCAACTAATTAATTCAATTTGCCGCTTTGCGTGTGCTTTTCTGCACGACAGAAAGTGACCAGTCGAGGCGAAGCCCTCATTCTGTTCCTCTCTTCCGTCTTGGACAAATTTCCCTCCCCTCCCTCCCCTCCGCCTTCTCCGCCGCGACTTCTTCCAAAAGAAGAAGACCAAAAAGAAGCAAAACAACCGGAGGGCGGCAGAGGCCGAGGCAGGGGGCTTTTAATGGCCGGCAGGTCCGCTGCTGCTGCTGCTGCTGCTGCTGCACTTGCTGCTGCTTTTGCTGCTGCTTTTGCTGCAGCAGTTCGTTCTTTTGAACTGAGTCTGTGACACACTTCATGGGGTGAAGTTCTTCTTCTTTTGTTCCTGAACATTCCTCCGAGTTCCCGCAACTATTCAACTTCGTTTGCGCCGGCGTGGAGGAAGAGAGTGGCGATTTGCCCCTCGAGTTGCTGCAACTTCGGAGAGACTTTGCTGCAAACTCGGAAAGGAATTATCTCCGAAAAGGCCATTAATGTGGACTTGAAATCTCCGAAAAGGCACTTAATGTGAACTTGAACTCCCTGCTGCTTTGCTGCAGAGGCCGCGGAGTGCCCCTGGCGAGGGGCTCCGGCGTGGGCATTTCCCCCGCCTTTTTGAGTTCCGAAAGCGAAGGCTTGGGCTCTCCGTCGCATTTGCTTTCCAGCAAAGAAGAGGCAGGCGAGGAGGGGCCCCGGGGGCCCCGCAAGCACGAGCGGGAGTTGAGTCCCGAGGAAACGCAGAGGCGGTGGAAGAAGAAACAGCCCTCGAACGTGGACTGGATGCTCAAGTGCAAGACCAAACTCCTCGAACTCAAAGAAAGAACTGCGAAAAAGGCAGTTTCCGACGTTTTCATGACAGAAAGGGTGAAGAGCAGCCCTAGACTTTGCTCAAGTTCAGCTTTCCAGCCGATCTGCCTGCTGCTGCAGCTGAGTAGTTCCATTTTTGCCAACTTAATGCTCTTTCACTGAGTCCCTTGCGCATCTAAGCATTTATAGATGTGTTTTTTTGTGTTTTGTGCATTTGTTTCCACTTTTAGGGGCACAGGTTCCACAGAAATGCACAGCTGCAGCAGCGTGAACACACGAAGAGTGCCGCAAGTGCTGCTACCCATGCACATTTATTGATATATTTGAGCTTAAATCTCCATAAATATGTTTTGGCGATGGCACTTAGCCTTAAATAAGCGAAAAAGCACACATTAATGTGCATGTGCAGGTGGTAAACATACTTACTTCATGAAAACGCCAGCCTGCACATACATAGATCATTCTCGTTTGCCGCTATTACTGCTTAAATGACTGTCATTGCAATTAATATTCTCACTATTATTGTTTTTGTTTGTTTTCTTGTGATTAGGGTATTGCATTTTGGCGCAAATGTGCAAAATGAGAAATGTTGCACCAAGTGCACTTGGCTACGTAGGCGTTCTCAGCTCTGCGCACAGACGCTCCACAACTCCGGCTTTGTTTCCGTTTTTTCTTCTTCTCAGACGCTGCCAGAAACAATTTCTTTCATAGATCACAACGCGACTAAACTTGAGGCGGTCGCTGCGAAGAATCCATCGGCGTTTGCTGCGGAGGAGTGCGTCTGAAGAAAGCCGAAGGCAGCAGTTCCGGGTTGGGGATTTCGGGGAAATAAAAGGGATTTTCTGCGATCAGACATTGCCGTTGTTTGTCTTTTTAATTATTTAAATGTATTTAAACATAATTGAGCCTTTTTTCTTCGAATTTCGGCCTTCCTCTGCGCTGTTTTGTCCTTGTGGATGTTTTGTGATCAGCCGCTGCTGCTGCTCTTCTCTTTTATTGGATTAATTGTAACTAAGAGTTATTTTGCATTAAATGTTCTTTTAAATTTTCTGAAAAGCCCCTCTTTCGTTCTTTTCGTGTTTGTTTCCGCGCGCAGCCGCCGCGTCTTCATGCAAAGCATCGAGTCCTACATTGCGGGACTAGAGAGAGTGAGTTTAGGAGATTAATGTGGTGTTATTTACGCCGATTGTTTAATATTTAATTAATTTAATTAATTTAATTAATATCTTCGTGTAAAACGCCAATTATATTGCAAATGTGCACAATATATTGTAAATGTGCACGCGGCAGCTGCTAGACATAGACCTAGATCAAAGTGCAGATGCATTCATTGCTCAAACGAAGTGTTTTCCCCCACAAAAGTTCGTTTTTTCTGTTTTTTTTGTCTTTTTTGTCTTTTTTATCTTTTATTTTCTTTGTTTAGGCTCTGATGCTGCTCGCTAAAGAGACGCTGAACAAAAGACAACTAATGAGCCTCTTCGACAGCGCCCTGAAGGTCGAGCGGCTCACCACGCCTTCTGAACTCTTGACGGAAATGTAAGCCAACACCACACAGCAGTTCATTTATTCTTATTTTCTTTATTTCGTGAAGTTTAATGAATAATTTTATGCTTCAAAAGGCTCCAACTTGATTCAATGAATGCGCAATCCTTGCGCCTCTCTGCACCGGCAATACTTGTACAAGTCCGCATGCGCGAATATCTCGTCTTGCATTCGAAATTCACAATCAGTTTGCATAAAATTCGCAAAAACTCGAAAAGTTTCGAAGAAAGATCAAACAAAAGACTGGTGAGAAATGAGTTTCCTCTGCGTCTCAGGCGCAGCATCATATCGCTGTTGAACACCTTCGCCTACATGCCGAAAGTGGACGACGACGACTGAGGCGGAGTGGAGAAAGTGTTGAACTTCTCCGCCGGAATTTGTTTCAAAAAACCCAAAAGGAGTTTATTAATTGGGGAAAGAAGAGCCGGTAGGCCCCAGGAGTTCCTGTCGATGCAGCATTGCATCGAAGTGTTGGTGCTGCGGCCGGCGGCTGCTTGCGGCAGGAGTTCAGCAGTTTCCCCGCAATGCATGCATGTGGGAAAGATATTTTATGAATTTAAATGCGTTTTTGCAAGTCTTTTGATGGGAAGTGCGCGGGCAGCAGCCAACTGGCGCCTGACACTGTTAGTGGCAAAGGGAAAGAGCGCTGCTGAGATCCAAAGGCGAAACTTCGAAGCTGTGGCAGCTCCTTGTCTTCAGTTCACGCAGAGGGTCCAGAAAACTAGAATTTGCAACTAATTGACGCAAAATAGATTAAAAAGACTGTCAAATGGACTAATTCAAGTGCAGACAAGCAGCTGAAACTCTCAAGTGCAGCGGCCAGAAACGAAACCAGATACGGGAAAATGAGGAGAGTCCAGTCCGCCTCCCGCCATTGCAGTTCGCCGCCAGCTTTACTGCGTTTGCAGAAAGAAAGGCCAATTAATTTCATTTAAAATAAGTAAATAAGTAAAAGCAAAACTTCCAACTTTATTTCCAACACGGACACCACTCCACCACTGACACCACTGGGCGCCAGTTCCACTGCCAAGTGCTTCTGCATGCGAGTCTGCTGTCTACTTGACATGAAATGCATTAAAAATGCATTTAAAATGCATTAAAATGCATTTAAAATGCATTAAAATGCATTAAAATGCATTTCAAATGCATTTAAATGCATTTAAAGTGCATTTTAGAGCAGAAAAGATGCAAAAAGAGCTCCTAAGTGCCGTATCGCTTTCGGTTGAAGGGCGGCAGCGAGGGCTCCGCCGCCCCCCCCGCCGGCGCCAGCTCCAGCAAGACCACTGCGTGGTCCACTGGTCCACTTTTTCCCGCGTTTGGACTTTTAAATTGAGTCCCTGGGGGGCATTTTTCAAAAGCAAAGCCCACGAAGCTTCTGTGTTCGCTGCTGCGCAGCACCTGCGCCGCCTGCACGCAGCAGCTCTTGCTGCTGCTGCCCCCTGCTGCTGCTGCTGCTGCTGCTGCTGCTGCTGCTGCTCCGTCGGGGCCCCTCTCGTGGCTCACGGGAGAGTCCGCGGGAGTCGTTGCAGAAGACCGCGTGCTGTCAGTGCCCCCCGGGGAGACACACGGGGGGCCTTCTGGGCCCCACAGGGCAGCAGCTCCTGCTGCTGTTGCTGCTGCTGCTGCTGCTGCTGCTGCTGCTGCTGCTTCCGCGTCCTCTCCTCCAGAAGAAAACATGGACTCCGGCAGCACGCGGGGCACGCAGAAGGAAGCTGCGTAAGCTGGAGCCGACGAGATCGAAATGGCCCCAGCTGGCCTGCTCTTCTTCAGCTGGCGGTGGGGAGAGCGCTGCAGCAGCAGCTGCAGCAGCAGCAGCAGCAGCAGCAGCAGCAGCAGCAGCAGCGGCAGCAGCAGCAGCAGCAAACGACAGGAAACAGCACCATTCGTTCAAGTTGAACGAAAACTGAGCTAAACATAAGTTGAATTGCGCTGATTAGAGCTGCAAGAACTTTTTAAAAAGATAATTTAAATTCAGAAAAGCTGAAAAGAAACAAAGATTGGAGTTTATTAAAAAGATAATTTAAATTCAGAAAATCCGAAAAAGAAACAAAGATTGGAGTTTATTAA